ATCTCAGAACTTCTTAGAAATGCAGGTTTATGGCTTTAACCCAGATGTACTGAGTCAACCTCTGGAGGCACAGCCCAGACTGGGAGGTTCTGAGTGATTCTGATGTGTGCTGCAGTTTGAGACCTTTTGGACTACTTGAAATTTACTTGGTCTATCTGCTCTGAAATTCAATTATTTCTATCTTTGGAGGGAAACCTCTACACTATTCTAGAAGAGGTTTTTAGCCAGCATACTGCTTTGAGGATCGTTTTTGAGAGACTCTAAATTATATGAAAGGGAACACTGAATATTGGTGATGAAAGGACCTAATACAGTTCTAGTGCTGATGACATCATGACTTTAAACCAACCCGCATTCGTGGAGGACAAGGAAGAATGTTACTGCTCTGGCTAAGAAGGGCAGCTAAAAGGGGCTAGCAGCTAGAGAGACTTTGCCTAATTACCCAGATCTCCCTCAACCACGATAAAGTCCTGACCCCACTTGGACACCTAGAGATTCAGGTACTGCTGTGACACCATGACAGCCCTTACCTAGTGTACTGTACACACAGGCAACTAGGAACACAAAAGCTGGGAGAGCCTGTACCTGGTCTCATCTCATTTTACAGGTGAAACTGAGGCCCAAATTTGATGTGATTTTCCGGATATCCCAGCAGGAATCAGCAGCCAAATACAAGTCTCTTGAGGGTTTGAAAACTCTTCGCACATTGTTTGGGGTCTAGGTAAACTTCTGTCCATCCTTATTGTCAAAACATACCCCCCAGGTACTCCATGGGGACCCATCCCCCTGCTTGTAACTTACAGTGGAGATAAGCAAGGGGATTAATTTGCTAAATGCTGGTCATAGCTTAGCATGTTCCCACTCTCCCCTTTGCGGAGGTTATCATTCAGCTACCACTGATGTTTTCCATCCACTGTCCACCTAGAGCGTCTCCGTAGCCTCCATTCTCTGCAGGGCGGGGACGATGAGCTCTTGACTGTGCCTTCCACAGTCCGGAGGGGCTGTAGGAAATGCTAGGCTGTCCATGGCTTCAGCCACTTGCGCTACAAGCAGAAGGAGCCCAGGAAATAGTTCCCTGCCTCTATCTTCAGGTCCTGGCACAACTCAGGCTCTGTGTGGGACTTGGTTGCCAAGATTCCAGAAGCTTACGGGTTTGATTTGACAACCAAAAGCAGAAGGGGAAGGGGATGAGGCCTAATCTTACTGTGCTCCCGTTGTGATAGGAAGGCTTCCACTTGCCTGTGGTCACATGGTGAGAACTGTGTTCACAGCCCCATGTGTCTGACCTCAAAGCCACGTCCAGGGAGGACTCTGCCCCCTTGTTTAGCTGTGTGCTGTAGAGCTGTGGGGTTGAGGTGAGCCCCACATATAAAAAATCTATTAGGCAAATGTAACCCAAACTCCACATTTGCATGTGGACTGGTAGGCCATTTTAAAGGCTAACCCAGTATCAATTTTTTATTCTTTTTTTTTCCTCTAATAAATACCTTGTGGGGCTGGGGATTTAGCTCAGCGGCAAAGCGCCTGCCTGGCAAGCGCAAGGTCGTGAGTTCGGTTCCCGGTACTGGAGGAAAACAAAACAAAAAACAAACAAACAAAAAACCTTGGATACATACATATACATCTCAGCATGGAAACTCAGTAACCTAAGGAAAGACTCTGAGAACAAGATGCGCTGGTGGCTTCATACATGTCATTCTAACCAGGGTGACAGGTCCCGGGAACGAGGTGCCCACGGATGATAAGAAAAAGTAAGAGAGATAAGAAAAACAAGAGAGGCAAAAGTCTGGGATCAGGGGGCTTACAGCCTCTGGGACTGCAGCCCTGATCACCAATCACAATCACCTTTTATTGAGCCAGAATCAAGAACATAACTAGAACAAGTAGGCAGATAACGAATGTTTTAGTAATTAATGCATCATCCGTCTCCAGTTCTGTCTCCTCTGCTGATGGCAACAGTCCCCAGGTGGGCCTCCCACACTCAGCACCACGCTCACTCAGTTCAGCTGGGGATCACAAGCCAACCATCAGTTATCAACCCATCACAGTCACAGTCCTTACTTCTCACATACGCAGCACCTAAGAGGACTGGAGCAGAGAGGCCCGTGAGCAGAACCCGCAGCAGGAAAGGTGTGACGGAATTCAGCTCTTTTACGAGTTCATATGCCTTGGCACAGTCAATCCGTGCTCTTTCGGTTTGGTTCCACTTTGGTTTTGGGTACAGTGAAGCTGGCCTGTTGAAACGCTGGGCCTTGCATTTCTTACGTCCCTGACCCTTTTGAGATGTCACCTCAGCACAAACTGTCTAATTGTATGTAGCTACCAACAGATGTGAGCAGCTTTGCAGGGTTTTATCCTTGGTAGATAAATACAAAGAATTCCACGGCTGTAATCCCGTCAGGCTTAAGAGCTATTTTGAAGTTGTGGGACCTCCATTCACTCAGGGGTGAGGTGCTTGGTTGAGCTTAGTTCAGACCACATTAGGTTTTCTTGGCCTGCCAGTTACAGAGTCACAGTGTAAAATCCCGAGTTGCAAAGTTTCATTCTCTAAGGAGCCGGCCCTAGACCCTGGCCCAGCAATGTTAAGTTCTGCAATACTATTAGGTTTGACAAGCAGATGGGCATAGGAAATTAGCAACGCACAGCAGAATGGTAAGGTGAATTCTTTCATTACTGGATGAGTTAGGAAGCTAGGAGACCTTGAAAGTCAGAGGGATATATTTGTCCCCAGTACCATAGCAAGGTAATTCACCATGCAGGGTCCAGTGGTGCTGCCACGAGGGGGAGCTGGCCCAGATGCTGTGGGAGCAGTAGAACTGGTCCAAAGTGGGGAAAGAATAAAGTCTAACCCAGAGAGTGTAGGAGAGTAAGAACTAGCAGGGAATGAATAAGATTTTCAGAGTTGTAAGGCGGAACTAGGAGAGTGCCCAGACCAACCAGGTGTTTGAGTTCTGGTTAGCTCACCTGCCTGCAGTGTGACCTTGGGCCAGGCACTTATCCTGTGTGCATTTCCCTCTGAAAAGGGGTCACTAATGCCTGTCCTGCCATCTTCATGGTACTTTTGGGTGTTCACATAGAGGTTAAGTGAAGGTTGTTAAATTCAACCACGAGCTGAAATGACTTTGAGAAACTAAACAGGTGTCCCTGCCAGGGTGGGGCAGTCATCCCATGGTATCTGAGGGAGACAAATTCCAGATCCCCAACAGGTGTGCAAGGCCCGTCTATAAAATGGTGTAGCATTTGCATATAACCTAGGTATACCCTTCTGTATGCTTTAAATCATCCCTGGATTACTTCAATCCCGAATGCAGTTTAAAGGCTGTGTAAGTAGTTCTTAGACTGTGTTGCCTAGGAAATAATGACAAGAAAGTTTGCACATGTTTAATACAGAAACAGTTTTTTTCTAAATAGTTTCAGTGTTGCCTGAACTCGTGAATGCAGAACTGGACAAGGAAGGCCGACTGTAACACCACCTTAAGTCTGTGGCAGCAGAGCGCCTCTGCAGAGGGAGGGTGTGACAGTTCAACTGAGAGATGTGGGAACCTCTGAGGCCCCCCAGGGAGAGGGGAAGCATTTCAGGCGGGGCTGGCTGCTAAGTGTCGAGCTCAGAGAAAGGTGAGGTCACTGCCCTGGCTGAGGTGTGGGGGAGAAGCAGCTGGATGAGGGAGGGGCATGGCAATCTGTGCTGAGAATGGAGGAGGTCAAGGGGCCCCATCAGAGCTTTCACCTCTGCAGATCTTCTGATCACTCTGATAGCAGTGCCAGTGGCAGCTGGACAATGTGAGGCGGGTGAAGACACAAGTTGGGGTCCCACGTGGGAATCTGAGGAGGGCTGTGAAGGCCGCGGGCAGCAGCGTACACAGTGATACTTCATTTAAAACAATAAACTCATTACCTACTAACACAAGGAGCACTTGTCTTGAAAAATAACGTTTACAAAACTGAAAACAAGAAAGAGTGGCACTGTTTTACACTTCTGCAAATTTTAGAAAACCCAGCTTTATAGAGGACAAGACCTGGAGTCTCATAGCTGCTTTGCATTTAGTAGGCTGTAAGATATTGTTTTGGTTTAAGTATATGCAGAAAAGTTGGTTTACATCCAGCTACCCATCGGACATCTCCCCACTATTCCAAAGGCTCCTCAAACTCCATGTGATGAAGACGCAAAGCTGCTCTTCCACTGTTTTGTGAGCCAGGGAACAACCAGCAGTCATGGACATCACAAACCTTCTCTGGCCCCTCTGCCTCACCACCTCTGCTCCCATAAACCTACAGCCAAGGCCTGCCACCATTACTGTATGGCAGGCTGCTGCCATGTCTGTCTAAGCCCCCAAGTGGACAGAAATGGGAACCCTCAGCCCTTATAGCATGGGCTTAGGTGAGTTGTTCCAAACGGGCTCAGCACCTTCAGACCCGGGTGATGTGGTTTATTGGCCACAGCTGATTTATGGTGGCATAAGATGTCCCTTTCGTTTGGGTCTAGCTTTGAAGCTAACTGGGCGAGTGAGATGCCAGGGTTTTGGTACTAAAGGCGAAGAGGTGTTCTGCCAAGTTTCCACTTGAATTAATACCTTGGAGAGAAAAACAGAAGAAAACTGGGTTCCTCCAAGAAGACTGTCCCCTCCTGCCCACCGTAGAGCAGATCCAGGGTGGTGGGGTTGCCTCTGACCCCTTCATGGGACTGCTTGTCTTGCTTAGCCTTAGAAAACTGTAAGAGAATTTTCAGATGTAAACAAAAGGCTCAAATCTGTGTCCCCACAGTGAAACTCCTTCATGAAGACTGGCCATGCTGCCTGCGGCCTTCCCCTCTCATGGCAAAGGCAGCCATGATAGCAGACCGGGCCTCAGAAATTACATGGCTCTAAGCCAGGAGCACTGCCAGGTGGTTCAGACAGTGTAAACCAGAGCAATTCCTAGAATCTCCAGAGGTAACTGAACCAACCCCAGCTTTGCAGCATGGTCTCACATCCAACCGGTCACAAGGGAAATGAAAACACACGTTTTCTGAGTAAGAAATTTATTTGATCAAATGGCAACAAATGAAGATATTTTAAGCTATAAGGCTCTATTCTGGCATAATGTATTTTACTATAAAGTAAATGTTATCAATATAAATGATACCTAAAACGTTTCCTATAATGTATCTGTGTGAAACATTCATAAAGTGCTCATGTACTTTAAAACTAGGTTGATATAACAGAAAACCTATAAATGGTACTTACAAGCAAGTTTCTTAAATGTCCGACATTTACACTGTCACATACACAGGTGTGTGAGTGTTGTGATAAAATACAGCTACCAACGGTGAGAGCATCATCCCAAGAGGAGGAAGACCCAAGCGGTGAGTAGTGTGCTGACCCTTGCATACCAGCCCAGCGTCCTACAGATCCTTAGAACTCTAAATTAAGTATGTGGTACTTACATAATTGCTCCATTGGGCCATACGTAGCAAAGGAGTTTGAGAAACCAGCGTTAGAAAAAGAAGGGAGGGGAAGCTAAAGCACGACAGGCTCATAGTTTTCTGTAAAGCAGCTTTAGAAATGACCAAGGAAACAGATTTGTTTTTTAAGGTGACTCTTTGGAGCTACACCGTGGGTCTGTACTGGCAACAGGGCAGTGTATAGGTTATACCATTTTCCCCCAAATATTTTCCTAGTACCCAAGTGACTGTCTTTGGAGCCATAGTAGGACCTAGGAAGCAGAAACTGACAGCTCCAAGTCATAGAAAAGAAAAGCTTCAGACACAGGAGAACCCGAAAAGAAAAGCTTCAGACACAGGAGAACCCGCTATTGTGGTGATGTCTTAAGTGCACACACTGTGCAGCAAGGTGCAGGAAACCAATGGTGTAAGTGACAGGGAGAAATGGAAAAGATTCCACAAAGCCAAGGACGGCCACTGAAAAATAATTATATAGCACCCATTACTACTATTTTGATAGATAAATATCATTGAGGGTTTACATGGTGTCTGTGCTATCTTTTTATAAATATAAAAGTTTATGAGGGCTTTCAAAACATTTTAAACACACAGTCTAATATAAATACTGCACTCCAAATTCATACAGCCAACTTGATGTCACACAGATTTGGGGTTATATACAGGATAGTTTTGCAGACCTTTTTCTGTATATTGATCACACAGCTAAGTGAATGCTAAAAAACACAGGAAGCATCTTACTGGAGACTTGGGCAGGAGACATGTTTTTAATCTATGTCTTCATGTGTTCTACAAAGATACGCCTGTATAAATGAGTTTAAAGTCACCCATGGAGATCTTACACTTAAATCACTTTTCTTTTTCCTTACAGCTACCTCACAGTCAAGTCTATGTGGGAGGGCTACTCGGTAGGTTATGGTTTCTTTTCTGAGTCTCTTTGTCCTCCTTGGAGGTGTGCATTTAAAAATAGTTTCGTGTTTCCCATTCAGTCTAAGTGGCTCTTTTAAGATTCCTATCCTTGAGATTATAATCTTCATTATCCATGACACTGACACACACACTTTCAATTAAACAGTAAGTGATTTTATGTAACCTACTTTTCGCCAAGTGCTTCTCTAACAGGTTTGCGCCAAGCACGCAAGAAACTAACCTCCACACACATGCAGGCTGATCATGTGGAGATGACCTTCTCCGCTGTGTAGTGCTGACCAAGTGCGATAAGCCAGGCTAAGAAAATGCCAAGGTTCCACGGACTCAAGGAACGTTAACAATGTGCCTACTGCAGGATCTAAAATTACTTTCTCCACGGGGAAGATGTCCTAATTACTCCACGGAGTGATTTCGTAAACTGGCCTTCTGCATGTGTGAACTAAAGAGGTGCCTGACCTTACTCTAATGGTTCAAGAAAAGCGAACCGACGCTATCACAAAACACTTAAGTACAGGAAGACAGAATTCAACCTAGGAGATTTATAATCCGAAAGCCAAGGCCAACTCATTCGCCTTTGCTTCATCTCTCCAAAACAAATCCCTCACTCAGCACACTGAAGACCGTGTTACAGCTGTAAAGTGAAATCAGCCTTTTACTCAGATATTAATGGCCCAGTGTTTGATAAAGGCATCAGGGCTGGATAACCTGTCTGCACAGATTTCCTGGCGTATAAATTCAACTCAAGTGAAATACTAAAATGACTGGATTTAAAAAGATGGATCTAAGAGGACGAGGTCGCCCCAGGCTAGCTTATTTTTCTTCTCTAGCGGAAGTGACCTTATGGCAAGAGAGATTTCCTTTGGCTCAGTGCTCTTGAAGGTAATTCCATGTGGAACTTTTCTTAGCTATTTAATGAAACAATATAAACACAAATGGGGCAAGTCTAACATAGCCAATTAACACTCACTCCACAGAGTGGCCCAGACCCAGGCTACTGCACACTGACCAGACGGACTGATCATTTAAGCAAAAGTGTTCTCAGTGCTCACAGGCAGATACCGCTGTTTCTAAAATATCATTCTACGGTAGTAGAGAAGAGAATTCCGGGATCAAGGCCGTCGTTGCAATAGCTAGGCTGGGGGCCATCCCCGGCAAGACCTGAGGGGCACACCCACAGCTCTGGCACTGCGTATCTGGTGCTCTTGAAAAGAGACATCTGTGCCTCGGAAGGAACAACCTGAGGCCACAGCAGCAGACCAGAGAATGCAGCGGATCTCTGGGCTCCCCATCTTGTGGCGCTTATCCCCAGAGAAGTATCTGCAGCATCGGAGCGTGTGGGGCGGGATGGCCCCACATTACAGGGCAGCTGAGTTTAGCTGAAAGCTGACACTGAGCTCAGAGGGCTTCGATTTGTTATCGGTTCCGCTTTGGGTTTCAGACCAGTTGATAAATGACATAATAAAAGGGTAATGCGAGTAAACTCAATGAGTTGGGTTGTTATCAAGCTATCTACACAGTGCCCAGTTCAGTAAAATGATCTAGTGGAGGAATACGTCTGGCCTGGGAGTAAAGAAACCAGTTAAATCACTTCTTTCTCTAAAATTTCCCATAAAGTCAACTGAACAAAGTGTAAGATTTCCTGCTTTTTAGATGTCACTTCAGCCTCTATTTTAACTTACACTGTTTATTAAAAGGATCACACAGACACCAATTAATTTTAAATTGCTATGGTAGAAAAAAACTTCCTGTGAGGAAAATGCGCTACAACTGGCAAAAATAAATAAAAAGGCATTTGCCTTGACAGAGCTCTTTAAGTTTTTAAAGTTAAAATAATAAGGTACTATATCTAGAAAATACTGTAAAAATATGTCTTAAAATAGAAAAATTTAGTCAGAAGGCTCAGTAAAACTTAAAAAGCTTGCCAAGAAAAAGGACAGGTAAAATAACCTTTTCATTTTTGACCTCTCCTCACTTTCCTGCCCTCGGACTCTGCCGGTCTGGATGTACTAAAGCAGAATAGTCTAAAAGCCATGAAAAAGTGCTGGTATATTTAGAATTTTTTCAAAATAATTTCCATCTTAGAAACTTGAATTCTGATCAAGGCAGCTGATGAACTTTAAATGTATTTGGAGACGCCGGCTCAAAGACCTCATCGTCATCTTCTACCCCTTCCTGTATAGGCTTCATCTTGGCCGAGGCTCGCTGGTGTGGGGAGGACACGTCTATGAGAAAACACAGAAAGGAAAACTGCTGAGTGCGTAACCAGCGCAGACCCTGGCATGATGTAGTAACTACAAACCCCACCTGCAAAACAAAACTCTGAGAGTCCAAAGCTCGTACCAGAACTAATGTCTCTAATGCAATATTTTCAATCTAGCATTTCAATGAAAGAACTAAGAATGAGAATCTCGATCAGGAGAATCTGAGAGTCAGATTCCACTGCACGTGCTTGGATGATAAGAGAGTCTTCAATGTACTGCAGTTCCCAGTGGGTTGTCTCAACATGCATTTAGGGCTCAGAATAAATTCTCCTACATTCCTGGCATACATGTTAATTTGAGTCCTGCATGGCTCTTGAAAGCTGAGGTAACTCATTTCCCTATAGAACAGCTCTGATTGACAGCTTTGGGATCAACACCACCTGCAGTGCCACCTGAAAAGTACATTCTTGCCCCCTCTGGCCCAGCCCCTCCCTGGACTGATATGGGAGGGGAAAGGCCAGTGTGGCCTGGAAAGAACCAGGTAGAGGAAACACTGTGTGGGCAACAGCACAGGAAAAAGAATCCCTAAGGCCTTTGAGGACGCCATTTAACCAAAGGGAACCAAGAAATATTTCATTCAGTCGCTTACTTGTTCATGCATTTATCAAAGGCTTATGACGCATTTACCACGTAATGGATATCATACTCAAAGACTAAAATACTCTCTAGAAGAGTAGAAGTTATTACAAATAGAGTTCTCAAGGTGCCAAATGGGTAAATACAAAATCCCTTCCACACAGTTACCGCATTCAGTGTCAGGATCCATCTTCCCCACCCATACCAGCAGCAGTGTGTGAGTATCTACAGATCCAACTGCAGAGCAATGCTGCACTCTGGCTGGATATAAGGTTGGTGGTGGGACAGTAGATGAAATCTGACTCCTTAAATACTCGCTAATAGCAAAGGAGAGTAGCGATCAGCACACCAGCTGATCTGTGCAGATTAGCTGTCACTTGCTGGCCAGAACCAGGAGCAGACAGCAGGGCCAGCCAGCACGGAGCATGCTGCAGTCAGCCGGGGAAACAGGGGCCACCAGAATATCACAGGCTGGTCCCTGAGAAAAAAGGCTGACCAGGAGTGAGGGCAAATCACTCTGAACAAGCGGCCACTCCCTGGCCTGAGTGTGGCGGACAGGGAGGCCATGCACATAGTGGTCAAGACCGGAGCCTCAGGAAACATGTCTGTGGCTCACATCCCTGCCCGGCTGCTTCCCAGCAGGATCACCTACACAAAGTATTAAACATAAGCCTCAGATTCCATGTGTACAGAAAGCGGGTAGTCACATGACACACGTCATAGGTTCCTGGGAGGACTAAGCAAAATAATGCATGTTATATGCTTAGCAGGGTGCTAGGTACCTGGAAAGACGTCACTGTCATGAACTATCCAGTCACTGCCACATACCTGGAAAAATGCCACAACCAACAGCCACATCTTCCAACAAAAAAATGAATAATTATGCAGGGCTGGATTTTTGTGTAGTAATATGTTTGTTGTCCATATATGGAAAGTGTTTACTTATAGACATTTACAATCAAAAGAGTTTCTTATAACTGACAACTGTAGACAATAAGCCTCTATTAAAATGGTCCAAGAAGACAGTTCAATCACAAAGCACAGCACAGCACTTTTTTATCCTTTTCAACAGGTGACAGACACAACTTTAATCCACGCGTCTACTCAAGCAGCAATGAATGCCACCTGTGTGACCTCTGGGCGCGGTCCTCCTGTGTACCAGTTTCATTATCTGTGAAATAAAAATAATAAGAACAGTACCTGTCTCACGTGTTTATGAAGACTAAATGACTCAATATTTGAAAAACTGTTTGGTCAGAGTCTCAGATGTAACAATTTTACATGTATTTAAGCGCACAACATTAATTACATGGTGTTTGGATGACAGTGATCCAAACACTGAAAAGTCTGTCACAATTCACCCTTGCCCCTAGTAACGGCCAATATAGGACATAAGATTTGTGCTCAAATAGGGGTTTGTGATTTCCAATCTCAGCCATCCCGAAGGCAGCAGAACTGTCTCGGCAATAGCTATGGCTTCCTCAAGTTATTGATTGAGTCGAATTAGTGATCAGATAAAAGCCCTCGGACAAACAAGACGGCATGTGTAAGAGCATCGAACCAAATCATAGCACTGTGCCACACTTGTGTAACACGTATAGCAGCAACACACCCGCTTGATTTTGACTGAGGAAGTGAGACTAATTGGTGTATAAATTTTAAAACTCATCTATCAAACCAGGAGTGACAGTCTATATATATAGTTTCTATATATCAGTCTCTATATACTTAGTCTATACTATATAGACGGAGGCTGGTATCCATACAGAGCCAAAATGTCAAACTCAAAAATCCAGATTGTAAGCAAATGTTGAGGACTGAGAGTTAGCAGAAAGAGCCCTGAACCGAACAGCGGACACCTCTGCTCATGACAGATCGCAGGGGCCGACAGCACTGAGGACACCACAGTGCATCTGGATCTGGCCAGCAGAGCCTCTCAGCACAACTGTCCAGGAAGTGGCCAGTGCCGCCCCTAGCTGAGGATGGGCATGTCCTGCGAGGCTTCCCTTTCCCTGAGGGTCCCTGCCTGTCTTCCTCAAGGCCTGAGTTACAGGAACCAGGAAGAATGGACAGGATAATCATCAAAACTCTGGTATACGGAAGAGAGAGAGTTAGGTGAAGGAATCCCTTTGTCAGCACGCAGTCCCTACACCTCATTGAGATTTCAGTGTGCGTCTGATCATATGAAGGCCTTGGGATCTTTCCTAGAAGTGAAAGTAAACAGACATATTTGCTGCTGTGAAAACCAGCGTAAAGGTCATGCCTGTGCCTGAGAATGAATGAGCTACCTCAAGCCTGAGCTGCAAATGAGGAGCACGGTGTGAAGTTTTCCAAGTGACTTTTCTTGGCCTATGAAACACTTTTTAACAAAGGAGCAACACGTCTGTAATCTAACCGATATAAGGTTCAAAGATTTCTCCCTCACTCCCCTATTAACTTTGATGACATTTTCTTCATTCTTTTCAAAATGGTCTTATTTTTATAATGTTTAACCATCTGGCCAACTGCTTTAGAAAGTAATTAAAAATTTTACAAGGGGTTTAGAATTTTAATTACATTATACAATATTTGATAAATGGGGATAGAGAAGGATTTAATAGTTTCTCTGCTAAAAAAAATTATTCCTTTTCCTGCCTTTGCTTATTTATACCATTTTTTTTCTTTTTCCTCCTTTTCTCAGTGCTGATACTCAAACTTAAGGGCCTTGTCTTGCTAGACAAGCCCTCTACCACTGAACTACCCCAGACCTATAAGGTTTTGTTGTTAATTGAGAAAACCGAGTTTTAACTGAAGCTTAATGCCTAAGCATAGCTGTGGCCTTTGTATCTAATTTTCCCTTAAATCAGCTCGGCACTAGCGCTGAATAACACAAACGCGATGTACTAAACTGGGGCTGATGAGGAGGTCGGGATAGGTCTGCAGCTCCCAGGAACAGGTTTTCTCTGGCCCACAGGGGTCGTTTAAGGATCATTTCCTGACCACTCAAGCGGGTGATCAGGGATACTAACGGCTTCATCTTTAAAAATCGTACAGAGAAAAGAAAAGGGAGCTTCAGGTATACTATTTAATGTTACAAAGGTAAATAATAAAAGAATAAGAACTAGTAGCATCACTATATAGAAGAGAAAGGGGAAGGGAAGTTAGAAGATAAAGGTTAAGCGGATAAATCAAGAAACAGCGCATCACTCAGCATTCTAAACAAAAACTATTCCAAAATAATTTTTTAGGCAGAGCCTCACAAAAATTAAGTTGCAAGGGGTTAGGTTTTTATTGTAGGATTTCTCTTTTGACTGTCTGATGTCTATATATATTAGCTTGATAATTTTTACAATTTTTAATTAGTATTAAAAATGTCTACCTGGATACAATCCCTTCACTGACACCTTACGAGTGAAGATGCAGGTCGTGGCTGGAGCGGGTGGGGCACTGAGGTCAGAGCACGGTCCCTGTTGCCTGGGGGACCGGGCACATGGGGAGATAACGTCACATTCCTCAACCCTAATAGGGAAATGAACATCTACCCTCAGGGCGGTTGTGAAGATTACATGAAAATGCCCAGGACAGAGATCAGCATGTGTCAGCTGCCATGGGAGTGGCTGACTATCCTTACACAAGTTTAGTTGGGGTAGAAAAGCAAAGCAAGGTCTTACAACACATTCAGCACATCTTTGTTTCAAGGTGAGCCAAGTGACCTTGACCAGATTATCCACTTCCCTAAGCTACAGTTTACTCATCTACAAAACAGGGATGCCTCTTTGGCCCATTTGGTGAGTCTGAGAACTGCTCGCAGGCTCCTCCCCTCACAGCTACTGCCCGATCCCAACTCCCTCCCACTTCTTTGTATAGTTCATGCAAAGCTCGTCCTTTGCAAGTCTACAGCCATTCACAGTAGGAATGAAATATAACCTGGGTTGAACAGATTATTGTGAAATGAGCCTTGAAACTAGGAATGCTATTTTGGTTTTTTGTATCATTCAAGGTAAATAAATACATAAGATCTGAGAGCAACATGTCATATCAGACATATTGCTAGTCTCTGCAGATGAGAATACTAACCAGATGCAAGCTGACTCAAGTATATTTGTACAACTAGGTGATATGGGATTAATAGATTGTCCAAAGTACCATTTGGACACCGATAACCAAAAAATATTTTTAAAGATTTGTTTCTTGGCCAAGAGTGGTGGGACACATTTATAATCTCAGCACTCAGGAGGCTGAGGCAGGAGGATCACCCCAAGTTCAAGGCCAGGGCTAAATAGTGAGTTCAAGAGCAGCTTGAACTACTGGTGATAAACTGTCTCAGAAAAAAAAAAGAATCTTGTTTCTCACAAGAAATAGCTCTCTAAGTATTTCATAGCATCTTTGATAACATCATGATAGTT